AAGGCTTCTGTATTCTTGTTGTATTCCGGATGGGTTGTTGCGGTCATCGTGGATAGGTATCAGAAGGTAAGCCTAAAAAATTGCGTCTGAAGCTTTCCCTTCGCCTTCGTTTGGTCTGGTCCATGATGAGTATTTGTACCTTTCTCTTCTGTCCTTGCCACCTCAATGGATGAAATGCTCCTGATGAAGGCCACAAATTCGACGTTTGGCAATGCGGGGTCCCCTGCATATCTCCTAACCCCGGCGTCTAGCCTCGCGATGTTTCTGCTCCTTTCGGATTTAAACGGCAGTTTTGATCCACGAAGGTTGGTGTCTCGCCTCTTGCTTCGTCCATCAAATGAGTGGAAGGCTGAACTGATAACAACTGTATCCGACAGCAATTGACTTGCAGTTTGCTCGGCTCGGGAAATGACCCATGATTAGATTGGCACAAACACCCGCAAACCTTGCAAAAGTGCAGACGGTTTGCAAAGAGCGGAGTGAGCAGAGACGCGGACGGGTGGCCTCATCCCCATGTATCAGCAACGTCTCTCGGTTCAGGGGGTTTTGACCCTGATCGTCTTGGCATCAGAGGTCTCTGTGCACCCTCTTCATACGTTAGGCCCGCCACTATTCATAAAGGGTGAATCATTAAACGTCGTTCCCGACACAATCCAGACTCAAGTTTGCTGTAGCTTCAACATATCTTTGAGTGCCTAACAAGAGATCGATCTCAAGACCAAGTTCTGCAACTCTTGTCTTCAGTCGATCGATCTCGGCCCGTCTGCGCGCATGCTTCTTGAGCAAAGTATCGTGTTCGATCTTCATTGCCCCAAGGCCGTGTTCAAGCGCCTTGATGTGGCTTTCTTTGCGAGCACGGAATGCCTGTTGCGATACACGATTTTGGGCACGACGGCGCTCCTAGAGTGACGGATATCCATGATCAATCTCGGCGACTCCCAATGATATCGTACCTCTGTCTGGACCTACCAATCTTGCCTGAGCTTTCAGTTCCTCAGTCGCTTTATCACTAGGTCCTAGGCCAGTGGCCGTCGCCGAATTTGGATCACTTCCGTCGACAGACACTGAAGATGGATTCTGGATGGGCTCACTCGGTGGGATAACGATAGATTGGGGTATCCCACCCCAATTGATGTCACTCCATGCCTGCGTATACTAGATCAGAAGTTAGCTTAGGACCCAACAACAGGACTCAGAGCACAGGACTTGCATACCGTCTCGGAAAAATCAAGTTCCGGGTATCGACTCTCCGTAGCGGGGACAATTTGCAAGCCATGTTCCTTACCACACCAAGGTATGTCGGCAACAGAGTACGAATCAAAGCCACAGCCAGCGACCATGTCTGAGCCGGTCACGTCCTTGGCAGGGATCGGATCATGGAAGCCTCGAGCGTGGATCCGCGCGCAGGGCTCCTGTGAAAGATACATTGTATATCCTAGTCCCACCCTCAGATAGACCTTGTGCGATCATCGACTCCGGGATTCAATTAACGACGCAGCTGATGACCACGTAGGCAAGGAGGAGTAGGGCTTTATATTTCGCCACCGTCGGGACTGGCCCGGCCACGCTCCATGACCGAAGGTAGTCGTACCATTCAGATGGCATCTGGGCGTCGTGCGGTTACGCATGGTAGATTATGCTGATGTTATGAGCCTGCTTGTTCTAACTGTGCGACTAGCCGAAACGAGCATGTACTGTATTGTGAGGGAAGACATCCCCAGAGCTAGAGTGTCGGAACCAAGCGAGGTTCGAGGCAGATCAATATCTCTGTGCATGCCTGATCTGGTAAGCTCGATAGTTGACTCATCTCGCCTAGGAGTGACACTTGGTGGAGAGGGGGTTCGTCTGATGGGTGTGTCTTGTGTTTCTCTATATGTGTGCCCCGGAAGGATATCCACTGCGCGACGGGTCGGTTTGATCCGAGATTCAGGGTTCGCGTAGACTGTGGTGCGTCAGCAAGGCTCTCTTCGTTGACTAACACCGTGGCCACTCACCTGCTGTATACGAGTACGAGGACTTCTGATCCCCGTAGGGCGATTCAGGCGATGCAGGTTGCGAATGGACTTGTTCTCCGACAGGGTGGGATTCTATTCTGCAAACGCCATTTTCGATCTGGCGCCGTGTCTTGTGGCTGCGCTCCATCTCAATTTGGAAGGAGTCACCGTCCCAACCCAATCGGGTTACAACCATATAGGGTCGTCGCTCGTTTCGGTGCCACGGGTGCCTATCATTGTGGAACACTTCATCTATGCCGCCAGGATTGCACCAATCCCCCAGGCAAACGAACCAATACCCTTGTCCGGCTCAGTCATCATCGCCTTGTGGGCTGTTAGTAGTCTTGCGCGGTGCCCGAAAAGAGTAATTGACGCATCATCCCTAGCAGGATCTGCTTTAGATCTACCTTTAGGCTCGCACGTATATACCACAGCAGTTAATTCTAACTTGATGCATCAATATGGCCGAGGACGGTATTTGCCAAGGCCCCAAAGATCTGAGGGTATCTGGTTGAGATTTCTTTGTTTAACGCTCTTGTGCCCTCTAATCCCTCTTCTCCCACTGTCCATCAGCCACCCAGGGCCGAAACCTCCGTCCATAGCGTTTTTCCTGCGGCGTCACATGCCCGATCGAGCCACAGGATACGCTTTAAAACGGCCTGCTTCAGATCCTCAAACTTCCTGATCCCGAGCGGCGAAGTCAGTCTTCTAAGGGCAGCAACGAACCACACTCGCTCTTCTGGTACATCTCTGGCGGCGGCACCACCAATGAATAGAATCCACATCAAAAGACGCTCGGCTTGATGTGATGATGAGATAGAGCGCATGTCAGACTCTCGGAGTGCAGATTTGAGCTGTCGAACTAAGATGGGGACTGGGGCAGTCTGGGCTGGAAGTGGGAAGATCACGGTGAGGGCGTATATTAGCATGGCAAGGCGGGTCGGTTCGTAGATGGGTCGTGGTCGAGTGGCAGATGGTAAGTCGGCATGTGATGGAAGGGATAAAAGGGTATGTTGGATGAGGTTGCGCCGGTCGCACAACCGTGCGAGATCCAAATCTGGGAGTGCACCGTCGACAAATCTTTCAACCCCATGTTCGTATCGTTGCATAGCGACCCACACCACAGCGAGCTCAGTCGTGAGACCCAGATCAAACAGACTACTATAGGTGAATTCGTCCCTAAGCTCGTTTGGGCATGTGCCCAGCATCCCCCAGAGCGTTGCGGTTCGGTCGCCATCATCAGCCAGCGGTACAAAGGGAAACACTGGTTGCGTTAACGTCCTGCTTGCTTGGATAACTCCGGAGCTACAGTAGCATGGGAAATCCAACGGTCAGCTGCAAAAGTCCACAGACAAATGATCTGCGAAAGGCGAACTTACTATGATATGATAGCCGCGAGACCAGTGGTCTGGATATTGTTTAAACCACCCCTCAACGCAATCAGTTGAACGAGGCCAGCTGCATGGACAGGATGGGCGCTGAGGAGTCCATAGACGTCCAGCCACTGAAGACTTTTCAATAAAGGATCGAATATTGGCTGAGTTGCAGGCTGGGTCTGGAAGCGTTGCAGGGTCGAGTCCCAGGCGTTTGTCGCCATCGCAAGGACCGAAACTATTACTGCATCTGTTATGACATTCTTGGAATCGCGGAGTGCTTTGTTGATCAGGGAGATTGACTCGGCCTCGCAGCGTCGCATGTCCATTTCCAGATGAACCACGGCAGGGTCATCGGGTTGGGCGGAGCCTTTTAACAGGTTTAGCCTCTTGTGGCTCAGCGCCCCAAACAGAAGTGAGTGCAGCGCAACAGTGTCGTTGAGTGCCATCGGAAACCATCCTTGTATGGCGGCCGCTTCAGATCCGCTCAGGGGTCGCGGTGTCAATCCAGGCCACACGACCTGCAATGCTATTGGGTCGGGCGAGGGCCCTGTCAGCCACTTTCCATTCTTCAACCCAAAAGGGCCAATGTGGCAAGGAGGGAATCGACCAACTTACAATATTCATGACATTGTGATATCAACGACGAAGGGAATGTTGATGGATAGGTCTGAAAAGGGTCCAGCACTCCGGATCCCAATGTCCGGATAAAGGGACGAGCGGTGCCGCGCGCAGCAGGAGAAAGTCTTTGACGAAGGTGGCTTGGTGCTGTGACTACAAGCCTGGTGTCATCTTCAATCTCGTCGCTCGTGCTGTCTTGATCGATATTACTTGCGCTACTTGAACTGTCCGTGTTGTCAGCCGGCCTTGCCAAGCTTACCCGCAACGGATGTTGCGATCGTGACTGAGTCGGCTCGACCGGTGAGAGTGAATCTGTGCGCGATGATTCCGGTGAGCTTCTCGTACTGGCGCCTGTTGCAGTCTTGGTGCCCTCGATCTTTTGCTGGTTCTCCTGCGTCCATCGTCCAATGTGCGAGCGGATCGCCGTCCGAGTTTGCCGCTTCTCGGCCTTTGTCTGGGGACGCGCATTGACGAACGAGTACCTTTGAGGAGGACTCATCTGCTAGGAGGTATGTCCGGTAAAACGCGTGCTGTCAAGCTGTCGCAGTCTCAGAGTGAGGCCGTGGTCGTCATTTGCACGTCGTCGGATTACCCAGATGTGTCTTTGTTCGTTGGCTGTCATCATATGGTACGGGAATGTAACTGCGGGTCGGGTTCCAGGGTTCCATGGTTCCCAATGTTCCCCAACGGTCAAAGGTTCTAGCCTTCCGTGGGGGGCAGGTTTGTGTGTCGGAGGATGGGGCCAGATCTTGGCATCAGATTTCCCTCGGATATCATCGCCCTTGATTTCTGAAACGAGTTACTCGTCTCTTCATGTTCCGCATCTCGTTGTGATTTAACCAGGGGCATGTGTTCCCGATTGGTCTTGCTACAAGTACAGGAACTGCGGTATTGGCCCAAATTCATGCTGACTCTGGTCCAAGTCTACCCATGCGATTCTTGTGTTATATCGGTGTCAGCAACTGAGGTGAAGACATATCCCCCCTGAATAACCAGTACCTTCTATGGTGCAATGGCCGAACCTCAAGCGGCTCGAGCGAGGTATTTGCAGCAAGCGGCGCGCATGATCTTCCTCTCCGCACCAACTACATCACGGCAGCTCTTGCGCGAAGGTGTAGAACTCGATCACGCAGCCTCATCGCATGCTGCCCATAGGTCAGGGGATACATGTATGACATGTGGAAATCTGATGCTACCAGGGTGGACAATATCTACAAGGATCGCAACCAGGAAGATCAAGACCAACAGGAAGACCAGCAGGAAGAGTCATTCGCGGATGACAACCTCCCGGCAAATGGTACGATCTAGGCGATGCTCATTGTGCTACCACATCACTAGAGATATCGCCACACTGAAATCCACTCACATGGAGGAGAGTCAGCAACCTCTCGATGTACCTGTCGAGCGCTCTGAGGCGGTAGTCACTGAATCAACTGATCCGGTTCTGGAAAAGCCCACCAAGTCGTCCAGCAAGAAAAGGGCAAAAGCACGAAAAGGCCGGGAAGGGCTACAGGCGCTTCTTAATAAAAGCATGCAGTCCAAAAGCACACCTGGCCTCAACTTGATGGACCTGATGAAAAAATGATGGACGGGTATATGTGCAAGAGCCGCACAAGCACAACCAAAGCTTGCCACGAGGCTGCGCGGCTGGGCAAGGCTCCGGATTTCGGAGGCAAAAAACCCGCGGGCCTTGCATTAGTGCCCCTCGTTTTCCTTGGCATACGTCGATCGTTCTGGGTCCCTCGAAAAGATTCTGAAGTCTTTTTTCCCCTCGCCTTAAGAAGGCAGCGGACTGCGAGAAACAGAACAACCTTTGCGAAGTTAGAGATTGTGACACTCACCTATACTTGCATACATACCGAAACACACATTCCATCAACAACATGGCAGATTCCGAAACACCCACAGTTGTTCATGCCGACCCCAATGAGACTGGTGTCTACGAGATCGAGAGTCTATGCATGAATTGTCGCGATGAGGTACGCATACAAATATGATAGTTCGGAGAAGCAGGCTAACTCCCTCAGGGCATAACAAGAATCCTTCCCATTAAAATCCCGTATTTCAAAGAGATCCTTCTCGAGTCTTTCTCCTGCGATCACTGCGGCTGGAGGAACAACACTGTCAAAAGCGCCGGACAAATCCAAGAGAAGGGAGCAAAGTTTATTTTCAGGTTGGACAACATGGCCGACTTTCAGAGACAGATTGTTCGCGGCGATACGGGCGTTTTCCGCATTGAAGATCTGGGTCTCGAGACGCCGCCTGCTCCAGGCCAGTTCACGAACCTCGAAGGCATGATCACGAAGATCAAAACGGATTTGGAGAGTGATCAACCTGCTAGGAAGGAGGTGAATCCTGCGCTCTACGACTCCTTAGAAACAGTCATTCAAAAGCTGGGCAGTATGCTACAAGGCAACAGTTTCCCGTTCACTGTTTCGGTCGACGATATCTCGGGAAACTCGTTTATCGAGCCTTCTCCGGACGACAAGGGCTCGAAATATTCTCGGACTGACTATCTCCGAAGCCACGAACAGAATGTGCAGCTGGGTCTGGTGGTGGATGATGAGGAAACACAAGACAACGGTGGGATGGAAGGCGTCGATATTGTTGATAATGAAGTTTACGAACTACACGCCGAGTGCCCTGCTTGTGGAAAGCCCTGCACGGTCAACATGAAAAAGACCAACATCCCGCATTTCAAGGAGGTTATCATCATGGCGACGGTCTGTGAACACTGTGGCTTCAGGACCAGTGATGTCAAAACTGGCGGTGCAATACCAGATAAAGGAAAACGCATCACACTGGACGTCAAGACGATCGAGGACATGTCCAGGGATATCTTAAAATCAGAGTCCTGCGTTCTAAAAAGTCAGGATCTCGGGTTGGAAGTCCAACCCGGCACGCTTGGAGGCCGTTTCACTACTGTCGAGGGGCTTCTCACCCAAGTGCGTGATCAGCTTCATAGTCAGATTTTTGACGTTGGAGATGCAGACCTTGCGGGAGGAGATTCAATGACAACAGACACACGGTCGAGGTGGGACAACTTTTTCGCCAAACTCGACGCCGCGATCGCAGCCAAATTCCCCTTTTCCATTACCCTCGAGGATCCTCTGGCAAATTCATTTGTACAATTGAATGCGGATCCCGGCAAAGATCCACAGGTCAAGGTCGAGGAGTATGAGCGAACGGACGAGGAAATGGAGGAGCTCGGCCTGAAAGATATGAAAACCGAGGGATATGAGAAGGAAAGCCAACAACCATGAGCAGCGGCTACACTCGTCTTCCGGCAGCTAGATCATCCCCCTGACAGCAGGGCGTCCGAACAATGCGATTTTGTCGTTTCGACTTTGTCAGCCCTGGACTTTCGCTTGCTAGTCCAAGGACATGACCCGGCAGCAGAGATCCGTCATGGGAGGAAAAGGACCAATCAATTTACTACATCGGAGATGGCTATGCACAGAGGCTCGATGCGTTCAGATGAGTATGGGGTGTTTCGCTGCCAACCCAAACAGTCCAATCCGACGCGGCTGGATATGACATTCCGAGGGTTCGTACGTCAGGTGTATAAAGGTAAGACCTGCATTCAATGAGCCAAAGCAGGATCTAGATGCCTTGGATAGCGACAGTGTTCCATTTGTGATGGTTCTTGCCGATCTCAGAAGATTACTAGTTACGAAGATGTCTGCAGCGATTTCGCACTATTTGTCATGGTGTCTCGGCCTCTCAGATCTGAGCCAGGAAATGCAGCCAAGAACCTTGTGTCTTGACACTCAGTCTGACAACGGGGTTAATGCTACGTCGCTGTCCTATCTTTCAGGAGGCGGCACTCTCAAGTCAGCTGCTTATCAATGAGGGCTTCGTTTTGCCTCCTGCAGCCGTGCCGTCTCTCCTGTTGCACAAGCTGTGGCATGGCCTTGGCTATCATTCTACACGAGTGGCACACCCTAATGTGGCATGTCTGACCAATGAGCTCTGCCCTGTAACCAGCTTCTCGGGGTTTCTTGAAGAAATACAATTCCGTCCTATGTTTTCTCCTTGAGCGACTACAAAACTCCTCTCTGCAACTTCTGGTAGAAGTCTGCATCCTGCCCAGCTGCACGATATCGGGAACAAAACTCATTGCTCGTGCCTTGTGCGAGATACTTCATCTGCGAACTGTGCCAGTGAAACCTTGGGCAATGACGCCCAATGTCGTTCTCAAGATCGAAACTCAACAACTCCCTGCTCCAGTTGAACTGTTCTGGATTGACCAGGCTGAGAGTAAGCATCGCCGGAAACTGATCAACACCCATACCCAGAAAAGATCACGTCGGCTCAAGCGCTTGAACCACGCCTCTTCCCACTCTGCGGAGCGGGCTTCTGACATGATGGCAGATTTGAGGTGCTGTACAGAGTACGATACGCTTGATGACAAGGCTCCCGCGGCATCGGGTGACTCGCAGTATATTGCAGTGACGAAGGAAGCGAGATCCCTCGAGAATGCTCTCAAGATCGAACAGAATTCTACATTGTGCACCTCGCTCAGTCCTGCGCCATTATCAAGCATCCTTCTTCTTGACCTTGACCCCTTTGACAGTCTATCAAGAACGTTGAACAATCATGCCGGGAATCTTCTCAAATTTGCACAAACTCTGGCTTTGAACACAGAGACCATATCATCTCACTGGGGCAAGTCATGCGTAGTGGCTCTCGGCCTTTCATGGAGCTTTTCATATCCTGTAAAGCTTCTCAACCTTCTCGAGCGGGTAAGTGCTTACATCGATACGGTCCAGGACATTACAACCAGTCAGCGGACCATTTTCTGGCGTCAGGCCTCAATACAGCGTTTGGCGACACTCATATCTGATCCACATACGAGGCATGGCGAGGAGGTATTATCTGGCATCATTGCTCTGCTGCATGGGTATCTGCACCGGTACCGAGGGGATGACAAGGGGTCAGTGATGACAATTGGACCTCATTCGGCCGGTCTGAGGGACTTTGTTTCGCATGCTGGAGGCTGGGACAAGCTTACCCTTACTACACAAGTCGAACAATATGTCAGGATGGCCATGATCATGACGAGCCTTCGACTTGCTTCATATCTCGACGACCACAGGGAAAGCAGTCATGGCAGCGAGTCCCTCCTTGGTTGGCACGCCGAGATTGATCGGGTGGTCTTGCTGTTCACGCAGATGGAGGCCTGGGCTCTGCAGCACGACCCCGGGTCCTCCCAGAAAGATCCCGAGCCCCTACTGGACGAACTTGCACGGCTTATCGCTGGGACTACTGGGATATGCAACCATTGTCACAAGCTATTTGTCCTAGTGTGGCTCAGTTTGACGCGGTGGCATTCGAGAATAATTCCTGGACAGTACCAAGATACCCTCCAGACTCTCGAATGTCAATTTCACAGTCTGCCGCACCGAGCACTGCCTGATTTCTCGTGGGCGATTGTGTCCTCACGGGTAGGGAACGCAAAGAGCAATTGGCAAACCATTGAAATCCTCAAAGTTTTGCATCGGGCAAGGTCTTCAACACAAGACCAACTCTGTCGGTGGCTGTTTAACTTTGCTAACGGGACAGTCGAGGATGGATTCATGAGGATGCGGAGCTGTTTGAGCGAACTCTTGATGCGGGATGCTCTTCTCGGTCAGCCAAAGGGCAGAGGGGCTCATAGTTCCCCGTCCCTGATTTCCTAAGAGCCGCCTTTCTTGTGGTTGGGGTGTATGGTCTAATATCTTCTCGGTCGGGGATGGGCGAGGGTCCAGACACTGGCAAGACTGGACAGGGATTCCGCAGGTCGCTTGGGAAGAGATGTTGATGCCGCGGGAAGAAACAAGGGTGCAGAAGTATAACGGCCTAAATAATTCGACGTAATCAAGTGAGCGACAATGAGTCAGTGATCACTCCTTTCGGACAGGATAAAATGCAACTTGCCGGTTATGTAGTCTGTTCAAGGCTTCTTGAGTGGTTGCTGGTCACTGGGTGCGAGACCAGCCTAGCGTGATGCAGAAAAGGTGCGTGAATTTCTCGGTTGGGAAATGACTTCATCAACACAGCTTTTTCGGCTCGTATTTGCTGGTTTGTTCCTGTTCGTACTCGTAAACAGGCACATCCGTGCTGTGCGCTTATTCATGCATCTCACTGAACAGCCAGTCTCACCAGGTTGAAAGATTTTGTTGGTGCTACTGTATCGCTTTCGCGTGCTCTTCATCGACCCCGACATCACCACCATGCTCAGTCATTGCGGGACGGCAGCTCTTTCATCTTTCAATCTTTAGTCCCCCTGTGAGCGCAAGGCTTTCGGATTCCTTGGAATATGTCCGATGGCAGTGTTCACAAGGTCCAGAGCTCCAGAAGGGCACATCCGACCTTTCATTTCTTTGCCGGCCTGACCTCTGGCGTGTCAAGCGCCGTACTACTGCAACCAGCCGACCTGCTAAAGACCAGAGTCCAGCAATCACACTCCTCGTCCCTCCTTACCGTCTTGCGATCGATCCTCTCTGGTCCTCATCCTGTAGCCAGTTTGTGGCGAGGGACCGTCCCTTCAGCGCTGCGGACAGGCTTCGGATCTGCCTTGTATTTCACCTCGCTCAGCTCTTTGCGTCAAATACTTGCCAACAACACTGTGAAGGGAACCGGAGATGGAGCATCCCTACCGAGAAAGAGCAGTTCAGTACTGCCAAAGCTTTCGAATATACAAAATCTCATAACAGGCGCGACCGCGAGAGTGTTTGCAGGACTCATTATCATGCCGGTGACAGTGATTAAGGTGCGCTACGAATCAGACTTGTATGCATACAAGTCTCTGGCTTCTGCGACAAGATCCATTTTTGCGCAGGAAGGCTTGAAGGGATTCTTCTCTGGCTTTGGCGCCACAGCCATCCGTGACGCGCCGTATGCAGGCTTATACGTGCTCTTCTATGAAGCAAGCAAAACACATCTGAACAAAGTCTTCCCGCTCCATACCACGGCCACGAGTCATGACCATCCACGTCCTTCAGCATCGACTGCGGCATCGATCAACGCTACAAGCGGCGTCATCGCGGCGGGGCTAGCGACGAGCATCACCAATCCTTTCGATGCTGTGAAGACGAGGTTGCAGCTGATGCCACACAAGTATGGGAATACGTGGAAAGCGGCACGGTTGATGCTCAAAGAGGATGGAATAAAAAGTTTCTTTGATGGACTCGCATTGAGAATGGGCAGGAAGGCAATGAGCTCCGCCCTGGCCTGGACCGTGTATGAGGAGCTTATAGGACGAGCAGAGCGCTTTGTCGCGAGGCATGATGAGGAGAGGGCGGCAGTGTGAGACTTACGACGTTGAAGCCGCTCACTTGACATGCTCATCAACAATCCCACTGGACCAAATTCAACCACACCACGATGGCATCACCTTTGCATCGCCGTTGTGCTTCTGAAGGTCGACGTCAAACCGACTTTTTGTTGCTACAATCCCGCCACTCCAATTTGCTTTGTGGTAAATGGCGCAGCTCTGCATGTGAGATTGTCGCAGTCTCTCACCACTCACCAACATGTGCTATAATGTACCATACTCGAGGGCGAATAGCCAAGATAGTGTATATATTCATACTTGTATATATCTCCGGCCACAAGGCAGAGAAACCTGATTATCTCCTCCCAGCTCGAGATTCCAATAATTTCCCGCTGCTTGCTCTCTAGAGTTGTCTCCTGCTAGTAGTGTTTGTCTAGACCACGGGCTGGTGCGGGAGGAAATAGATCCCTAATGTTAGAGGTGGAGAAAAGTGGATTTGACACCAACTGGCACTTCCGCAGAGTCGCCGATCGCTAAGCTCTCGTGGCTCCTCCACCGCTTCCCCCACCGTCTACGAGGCCTCGTATTATTGTTCCACTCTTGACGCATAGAGGTGATAGCTCAACAGGCACGGACTATCTTTCTACCATACGACACACAACTTGACCTTACTGTCGACGATTTTCTCTCAATACTTGGAGCATAACCATTTGTTGAGCAACACACTTCCTCTGGAAACCTTCTAGTCTCATGCTGCTCTTATTATGAGAGCGCTCTGGCCCTTTCCATGCTCGCTCAGGTGGCCCGACCATCCAGACACGCTGTAGCACGACTATTCGATGGCCGCTGCTTTCTTCTGCTTGTGCGGGCTCCTCCATCTCGAAAGCAAACGATAATTTGTCGACTCAAGGGTGTCTGCGTACGAGGCATTGGCACCTCGGCCTCCCACCTGCGCCGCTATCTCATATCTGAAGGCCGTACAACCACACCCGCAGCGGGCAAGACCTCAGCGGACTCGAATTCGTCCACCACATCCCCTCCGAGGCCGCCCTATCCCTTCTATTTCGAAACTGGCTATTCCATCTTTGCCAAACGACCTTCCCGCCCGTTTCCGCCTCCATTCGTCTTCCTCCCGTCCGGCTCCTTCTCCGACCCTCTCACAACGCACAATCCCTCCTCCGTTGCGCGTGGCGCCCGCCGTCCCACCGTGAATGGAGAACCTGTTCGTGGCATAACCAACGGCGATGACGCGATCATTATATCGGCGGATCGGACCTTCGTTGCCGTCAATGATGGCGTGGGAGCATGGGCTCAGAAAGAGAGGGGCCACGCCGCCCTTTGGAGTCGACTGATTGCACATTTCTGGGACGTCGAAGTCGAGAAGTCTCTCGCAGGACCCGACGGGAAGAACTCGGTGGATTTGGGAGATATTGACCCTGTGCAGAGTCTCCAGGATGCGTACGACGCAACCAAGAAAGCTACCAAAGGCACATTGAACAAGGATCGTGATAATGAAGTCTATTCGGAGGGTGAAGAGGGCGAGCGCAAGCGAGGAGATGATGAAGATTCATCTGCTCCCTCGACCTCGCAAGAAAGCAAGGATTCCAAGGAATCCACCAAAAATGACATTCTCGGTACGACGACCGCCTCTTCGGCCCTTCTCTACTACAAACCGCCTTCTGGATCACAGTCCGAACCGACACCAGTAATCTTCGCCACGACGCTGGGTGATTGCAAAATCCTCCTGATACGACCCTCACCGACTTCATCGCCGCCCGAGAAAGAAAGCAAAGATGACAAATCCGATCGCATCCTCTACCGGTCCAAGGAACAATGGCACTGGTTCGACTGTCCCCGCCAGTTGGGCACCAACTCGCCGGACACCCCCCTTAAGAATGCCGTCTGTGACTTGGTCGATAATGTCCGCATCGGTGATGTGGTCGCCGTTCTGAGTGACGGTGTGACCGACAACCTGTGGGAACATGAGATCTGCGATAATATCTGCGAGAGCATCTCTCGCTGGAACGGTTGGGGGGACCAGTCGCAGACAGCCACCCACAAGGAGGAGCAAGAGCTCGAGGAGGCCAAAAAGGATGGCGTGATCTATGTGGCGCGGCGGCTGATGAACGCCGCCAGGGAGATTGCCATGGATCCCAACGCCGAGTCGCCTTACATGGAGAGGGCGTTTGATGAGGGTATTGCGGCTGAAGGGGGCAAGTTGGACGATATCTCGGTTATCATTGGAGTTGTGAGGAAGACGGAGTCATGACACGAATCCTGATACCTTGTTCCAGTTGGAATATGCCAGCTGGTGGCATACAATTGTACAGAGGATCAAAACACTCGGCCAACCAAGGTCGGAGGGGCGGTCGCTTTGGTGAATACTTTGTTTTTGTAATCGTGAGCGATCTGGCGCATGCTTTACACGGGAGGACGACCAGGCAACAGTACAGTCCAGTGGCGAAGATAGGGGAGTTTTGGGGGGGGGGGAACACAGAAGAGCGAAATGCAAAAGCGATGCTATCACAATCCCGTGGACCCGGCGTGAGTCAAGGAGAATCGACAATATATCTGCAACCATGCATCCTGCAGGTATTACGGGTCTGTTGTCCTGTCTGTCCCGGTTCCTCATCTTTCTTCACGTCTCTGCCTCTCTGTCCCCCTGTCTCCCACCCGTCTCGACGGCCGACCCCAGCCAGCGACGAAGTGGCGTATCCTGCTATACACTCTGTGAGTATGTATATCTCGAGCAGTCGCGCGGACCCGAGAAACCCCCGCTCCCATCGGGTTGTCGCTGTTGACCACCTCTCTAAAGGGGAATACCGGACCGTAGGAGGGATTGAGAGTGGCGGCAGGTCTCTTGCTTGCTCGATGGGCTCGCTTATTTGTATAAGAAGGGGACTGGACTTCGACTTCGGGTGTGTGGGTGTGTTGGTGTGTGGATGGTGGAGAGCAAGTAGGCAGGAGGCACATTCTGCAAGTCCTGTCAATCCTGAACGCGGGTGCAGGCGTATCACAGCGCTCGTCACCCACTTCTGTCGTCGGCGCAGTGGTTCCTGGCTGGCTCTCTGGCTCATTCTGCCAACGCTGAGCCCTCCTTCTGCTAGGAACCGAGATGCACTGACTCTGGAGCTCAAGCAACTGCATTTAAGAGGTCGTGAACCTCCTAGACACCGAGTTGGGCTTCCAAGCATTCGATCAGTCTCTCGTTTCGGCTCGGCTCATTCCGCACTTAATATCGAGTCGGGTACATGTGTTGGAAACTCAATGGGTCGCCTGCGAACGAGACGAACGAGCTTGAACCTCAAACGACTTTTCCTACATCACCGCGCAACGAAATGGGTCGACCTCACGGCGGTCTTTCCTTTTATGCCGAGGAGCATCTGACCGAGGAGGCTGGGGATGCCTTCGCCTCTTCCTCTGGCCGTCAGCCCTGGGACGCCCATGGGCTTGTCTATTGGCGCGGTGTCGGTCCTATACCACCAAGGCTGAATTAGCATCCTCTGTACCAGCACCACATACACACGCCGTGCCTGTACATGTATGCTATGGCCTCCCGCCGCTGCCTGCGACACTCACCTGAGCTATACACTTGGGGCAAGGATCCGAGCCAGGCTCATACGCCATCGATACTCCTTCTCTCTCGCGGACAGAACAGGCTTCGTCCTTATTTCTGTGCAGGCGACAATGGCTGTTGTGGTACTCATAGGTATAGACCGTGTGGCGTTTGTCCTCGTTGTCAATGTACCGACAGCCTGAGTGTACAAAAGGCGTCATTACCACCACACAACCTCGCGCTATCAGTCCAGGATCGCGTTAGACTTCAGTCGTCTACACAATCTTGTCTTGTTGTCACTTACTCATGGTGGTAGGGTAGATCAGATGGATTAGTGCTCGTTGCTGTCACTTCTCTGGTATTTTGTTCGACTAAACTGGACTGTTCAACGACTCAGAATCTACACCTCGTCGAGTTCTTTGCGAGCCTTGGGCTTCCTCTAAATACCCCCAGAACAAAAGGGCTTTTGGGGAGGGGGCTGAGCGGGGCTGAGCATCGCCAGAGCTCGTTATATCATTGTGCATCTACTAGCTCTTCTCAGCTGGTCACAATGTTTGCCTTGTCACGCAAGGCAATACGAGACTGTGGCACCTGTCAACGGAGGCTGCATATGCTCAGAGCCCTCCATCCAAACTTCTCGAGGGTTAGCACAGAATTTGGCCAAGTGCTTCGTCTCGAGCCTGAACCCAAGGCGCTTGCTACCGTGACTGTGCACCATTTTCAATTGAGATTTCTTTGCTATGGACTTCCTTCTGGTAGACAGCCTGTTCTTCTCACAACCATTGCCAGCAGAAAACGCACCTGTACAGCGGTCTCACCGCTTTCTTGGAACGCACAGCAGGGTCGTTGATTTCCTCTGCAGACTCGACTTCGGACAGTACTTTGTGACATACAACGAAAATCAGATCAGCACATGGCAGGACCTACAGAATTCAGTCAACCAGGCCTTGTTTTCGCCAGGTGTGCCGGGCCACCCAAACACTCCCGTCGGCGGAGAAGAGCCACTGGATCGTGTCTAGTAAGCCAAGGCAAGAGTCCCTGTGTATCAAGAAAGGCCCTGAGCAGGATTTCTCTGTCCACCACTGACGAACGGCCGACAGCTACGAGAACAACTGGCCCTATGCACGCAGCTTCTTGTGCCGGAGGTTTGTTAAAGGCCTGTTCGACAATCTCCGAAACCCACCAGCTGTAGGTGATCGAGAGGATGCGTCACTGGTGCGATTTCAACAATTCCTGTTCGAAGCCGATAAACGAAACGATTTGGAGTTCTACTTTTCCCGGATCGGCCCTACTTCAAACCTGTCGATGCTTACTGGAAGACGTGGGTCCAAATCACCCTGGCCTGTTTGGCCCTTGACGAAGAATACCCAGGTTCGATTGAGCGCTGACTGTTCACGGTGTTAGAACGTCTTCTGGTACACTTTGGCTTTGACTGGATTTCTCTACACAGAAGCCCTGGAATTGCCGCGCTGGACACCAAATTCAAAGAGCTATACACGCTCAAGGTAGTACGGCTCGGCCTGGAAGCAATGCACAGGAACTGAAGTGAGTTGCCAGGCCGAGAAGAAGTTCATTGTCCGTCGCAGAACGTGCGTCGCCAGCATCCTCAGCATGAGGTCGACAGATAAGTTCAGGAATGTCGAATTGTGCCCGGCGAGCTGGGCCTCTGTGGTCCCCTTGCTGCACCGACGCACACTGATACTCTTCAATGAATTCCATTCGGAGGCGGATGGTCTGGGCTTCAAAGACTGGCTCACAGACCCAGGACTTTGGACTGTCATCGACCAGCAGAACACGAGTCGTGACACAGAGACCACAGCAGTGGTATTCATCTACAGGCTGGTGTGCCGCATATGGGAGCGCGTCCTTTTGGAGTGGAGGAGAGTGCTTGACCAGAGCTCAGAACATATCAAGGTTTCAGTATGATCAACAACGGTTGGTTTGTGGCCACCTCTGACCGATGGTTCCAGGAGACTCGCGCTCTGGACGACGATCTCGACGTTGCTGATCTCGAAGAACTCGCCCGACAGACATGGCGTGACTCGCAGGACTGGTCGACCATGAGCCAGCTCTTGCTTGCACAAAGGAAGACGATCGCGCACGCTCTGGGGTACCTGGAGGCTGTGTCTCGCAGTGCAAACCTATTTCCACCCCCAGCCACTCCGACATCGCCCTCGAACGAGATCGTGCGCCTGGAGAGGATCATCAGCGAATTCAACGAGATGGAGCAGATTGTGTCCCAAGAGTTTCCCAACCGCGGGAGGAACATCTCTGACTTTGTATGGATCTTCCGGCTCACTGCGTCACAGAAGAAGCAACGGAGCAATAGAACTGGCCAACTGACGAAACGAGAACAGGTGTACAACATCATTGGCGCCCGGAATGCCCAAGCCGCCGAAAACTATTCCAGGGAAATGGGCAACATTACATGGATCACGTTTATTTTCTTCCCGCTCATCACTGTGTCGGTGAGTTTGTTGTCCTTACACCACTATCGCCAATTCATCACCAGGTCCCAAATTTTCGAAGCATCCCGTTTTCATTTGAAACGCCCTTTACTGAGACTCGAGCCGTCACATTATACAGGGCCTTTTCGGAATGAACGTCGACGTCCTGGTCGATAACCCTTCGATCAAGTGGTACTTTGTCGTGGCGGTGCCCTTGACGCTGTTGGTTGTGGGAATGGCTCTGTTTATCCGGCGGCATAGGAGGCGGTATTATTATTGACGGTGATGGTGATGAGAGGGAGAGAATATAAGAGATGACAGGGACAATGCCCGGGTGGAGATGGAGTAGCAGTTGTAATGGGAGTAGGTAAACCCCTCAGGTCTGCTAGAGTTGATATCTATATACATACCTAGTAAGTACATACTGGGTAGGTATGGAGGTAGGTAGGTAGTCATGTATCTACCTAGTAGTGGATAAATGCCTAGATATCAATCCCTGCGTGAATTGTGAATCGGCTGAATGTCTGATAGACTGATATAGTGGTATAGTGGTATCGTGGCATACTTGGCCCCGTCGCGCTCCAACTTTTTCCCTCCTTTATGAACCGTGAACAAATCCTCAACCCCAACCAACTCCTCTGGCTGTGGCTGCTTGCACCTGCGCCTCGCGTCGCATCGCCTAGCCTCGCTCAACGCCTACGCCGACACCGACACCGATGTATCTATTTTATTGATCGGTATGAAGGCAGAAGGTAGGTAGGTAGGTACCTCGTCCTCGTCCTAGCGCTGGCCCTTCCATGCGTCTTTTGTTCACCTCTTCACCTCGCCCCTCCGGATTCATTTTCTCCGTCTGTCTTGGTCGTGCGTGATTCTCTCTCCCTCACCCTCACATATCATCCCTCAACTATCCTATCATGCGCCCCGCGAGTCGGAGATGTTGATCCTATCCTACCCGGAACTCCCATTCCAGATGGACATTGCTCAAGTCAATAGTACTGGTCTAGAGATGTACGCGTGCTTCAGGTTGACTCATGTTGTATCGAATTGCATTGTGTGGTATCAGGAGCAAAGGAAATCTGGTATCGGGCTCTAGATGTGGTTCCTGCCAGTCAAAGCCGCCTCCGCACGAGTTACGCCCCAAGGATGCCCGAGAAATGACATCAATTCATTCCGTTGTGCTGAACCAGGTCGATGCAGTAAATCTTTCCATCAAGGAGGGACCTCGTTCTGTCGATCAGCCGCTGAACTTGAACCTCGCTGCTTCCAACCTGCCCAACCCTTCACGCGGCGCCACATTCCGTCGTCGATACGAATTCGTAAAGTCTTGAAGCAGCACCCGCACTTTGTGCGGCTGATTCTGCTGCAGCTTGTCGCCAATGCCTTTCATCAACTTGTTAGCTTCGGCTGGTTTTAGTGTGCCTGCAGGCAGGGCCACCAAAGTTCCTTGAATCCATTGAGCCGCCGCTTGAGGTACCAATTTGAACAGCGACAGGAGAATACTAGAGGCATCGGCGTAGCAGTCCTCGGGAAAGCTGAACATCATGCCAGTCAGGACTCGGTGCACAATTTCCTGTCCCCTCGAGCTCAGCACTTGCCTCACCGCTGCCTGAACCTCTGGTGGATTTCCAAGTGATTCACCATTGGGCCCTTCGAAATTGGATATTGGCGGTTGCTCAAAGCCAAAGTCCAGAAAGTCTCTCAAGAAGTGCAGAGTAGCTTGGAGTGGCTCGACTAACTGCAGCGTCAGGGCCGTTAACGACGCATTGACCATGGGCAGAGCAAGGTTCGAAGTAAGGGTTTTCCGAGGGTAGAACCGAAGAGCATCAGAAGCAAGGCGGAAAAAGTCCTCGATAACATCTGGAAGCTCGGTCGGTTGGAGTTCGGCTAGGATCCTTAAAAAGACTGTGGCCTGTTGCTCAAAGAATTGATACACGTTGTCACTCGTGGCCTCGTCAACGAACTCTGAACCGTACGAAAACTCCCGAATGACGGCGTCTGTCGCCCACAGGAAACAGCCTTGTCGGGACGCTTCAAAGCCCTCAGCAATCCCCGTCGCCAGTGTGGGCAGAAGCGGGGCTGTGGCAGTTCGGTAGGTTATCACCATGGTCCTCCAACACTTGCACACTCTTTCCAGGATCGGCATGGATCGCGTGAAGTGCTTTGCGATCTGTGAAAGAGCCGGCAGCACCTCCTGGCAATATTTGACGGCCGGGTTCTCTTCAGATGGCGAAACATAAGGCTGTACGAAAACGAAGAAGACTGTCACAAGCCCAAGGTAGTCAGCAACCGTTTTCTCGGTATTCTCATCCGTGGCTTGTGCGGCGAGGGCAACCACCCGTCTCATGACAGGGTCACAGAACAGCTTCATCGTCTCGTAGATCTTGCTAAGTGGTTGGGCCGCCACGACGGCCGCAACTCCTTCGGTCACCTCTTCCTGGCTTGTAGGTTTAAGCTTGTCGATGACGCTTTCGTAGAAGTTGTGGAGTTGTGGGACGTGATCGCCCAGCAAGCTGTGGCAGTCGGTCCCCAAGAATTTGAAGGCCAGCGCTGCTGCCTGTACCACTTCCTGAGAGCTGTGATTGAATCCAGAAATAACGTAATTCAGCTGTGCCTCTAGCGTTTCTGGATGTTGAGCGGTCCATTCGGTATAGCGAGCCAGCGCCATGATGGCTTGAAACTTGAGCTTCTCATGATCTGGCACTGTCGTAAGCAGCGGGATGACTTGCGGGAGGACCGTGTCTTCCTCGGGGCTGACCATCCGGCCCATTGCCCTGAGGCTGAAAAGTGGCGCTTCAAGCTCTTGCCAATGTGGTACGGTGGTGCCTGAGACCTGCGCAGCGTATTTTTGCCCCCAACTTTGTATCAGAGCGAAGGCTTTCGTTAGACACTCCGTGACTCCAACGACTTCGCAGCAGTCCTTGAGGACGTCGCCTATGCTATGTCGGAAACTGCGGAATTTGTCCTCTGCTTCTCGATCTCCGTCGAAAAGGTCCTTCTCATTACCATTCTCTGGTGTGGGGAACTCGAGGTGTCTGATCATGACATCCACCAATTTCGAATAGAGGTCCGCGAGAGGAGCTCGAGCGGGCCTGTATTTTTCGAGAGTGAGTAACAGCTTGAGTTCATACCAAAAAATGAACGTGACCGAAATAGCTTCTCGATCTTTGTCGAGTACGCAACATTCAAGGATGCATTCGACCAGCTCGCGGAACTCGGCCGGCATGCGTGCAATGAGAACAACCCAAGCTTCACCAGCCTCTGCGAACAGTCTCGTAATGCCCTTCATGAGATCGTTGTCTTCGGTGGAAGCAGCTTCTGCGATCATAGGCCTCAGCTTGATGATTCGGGGATAGAGGATGCGAATAACACTTTGTGACTCGTCGACGTCTCGGGTATCTCTGAACATGGTGCAAAGGCAATCCACAGCTGCTTCGAAGGAATCGCTGTCCTGCAGGGCGTCGATAATTTCATTCAATAGGGGCGAGTTCACAACATCGATCGTGGGAATTTCTCGAAGCCACGATGCGATACACGAATACAAATGAGGATTGTGAGCAGCTTGGGCTACAAGAAAGAAAAATGTCAGCAGTTCCAATTGGACAAGGGAGATTCCTTACTTGATGACTGGGCGTAGGAGACCAAAAGATTCAAGACCTGAGCGGAGTTGTCCTCTAGGAGTTCCTTGGTCCGAACGGCAAGTTCCTCTTCCTATATTGCAAAATGCTGGATTAGACTACGATCGGATTCCAGAGTGGTGCTGCGGCAAGGTCGAGCATTAAATGCTGCGTGGTCGAACATACTGAAAGGTTGATCTTGCGGCCTTCTGTGACTTCTTCTGGTAGGATGCGCAGGAAATCGAGCAGACAGTCTCCGCCGTCCCTACTGCTGCCAACAGCCGAACCCACTGTTCTCAAGACATCTTTCCACGTTGTCAACTGAATTGCCAGGATTGCCAGACACACGCATAACTGCGTCCGAACGGGCCGAGGGCCCGAGATATAGAGTTGAAGCAGAGAAAGGAGTGAGTCTCGGAGAGGAGTGAGGGCGTCTGCTGGCAGCTGATGGAGGTCGTATGTAATCTGGAAGCGTCAACGCTACTGAACTTGCCCAAGTGACCGACAGTGCAGACTTTTCCCTTTAACGTCGTCGCAGCAAACAGCCTGGCTTCTGCCGGAGCGGACGAGTCTTGTAATATTGCATGAGTGGTGTTCCACGCTTCCAGCTATTCCCACATGAGCACGAGTATATGTGGTGTGGAGGGTCGCCACAGACCGATTTCTGAAACTTTTCAAGGAATTCATGGGCTCCCGTTTTCTCTTCTTTGCCGGCATTGCTCTGCATCGTTGCCAGAGCCGAAAGGACCGGCGCATAGCCGCTGGTAGGGTTTGCCTTATCGGCCATGGTGGTCGAGCTTGATGAGTGCGATGAGAATGAGGGGCACACAGGCGTTTAGGCCGAGCAGTGAAGCGGTCAGTGCGGTCGTTGTCATCCAGTGACAAGGTGAACAAAGAATGTATTTAGAGGAGATAGGATCGGGTAGACAGACGCTATAGCAAAGAATTGTCGGAGGAGAGTGGTTGTAAATTCGCAGAGATCAGATGTTCAGGGAATGACCTCAGTTTCTCAGTTTCTGATTTATTAGGTTGCGAGCCTTGCCTCCCACTTCAGCCTTCCTCCGCATTTTCAATTTTCAGTCACTGCGCCGAAACTTCTTTTTCAAGATCACGACAGCCCGTCCCCCAACACACTTGACAATTGCACGTCTCGAGGCCGAGAGTGTCAGATCTGTGCGAGCGACCCCTCGATCCGAACAAATCCAGCGCAGAAGATACTCTCAAGGCGCAAACTGTGCCCACAATGACTGGACGCGGCGGCGGTGGTGGCCGCAAAACTCTTCTTGCGCCTATCCATTTTATTTTCAGCCTGTTGCAGAAGCGCTCGACAGTCTCCATCTGGCTTTACGAGAATTTGCGCACGCGTATTGAGGGCAAAATCAGGGTGTGTACCCATTCTGGACTCGAGGGATCTTTCGACTGACCACTGAGCAGGGCTTCGACGAATTCATGAATCTAGTGATTGATGACGCGGTCGAGGTACAACTGGCTACAAGAGATACCCCAGAGAAGAGAAGGCAGCTTGGTATGATGAGATTGGAGCTTCACGTGCACGGATTGCAGCTGATAACCCTCAGGACAAATTCTATTAAAGGGCGATAATGTCTCATTGATCCAGTCTCTGGACTAGAGTGGACAGACCATTGTTTTACTTCGATCTTCACGCCAAGCGCCATATCTATCAGGCATCAGCTCAGACGGAGATCAAGTTGTGCTAGAGGAACGATGCCCGTAGTGCATCACTCGGTATCAGCAACCACTATTTGATCAACTGTCCAGTCATGTTCGTCCGCAGGAATCGTCTCGCCGGGCGGCAGAATCTGTTCGCGAAGGGCAATCCCGACTACAAGACAGAGGGTTTAGTCGCAAAGCAGCTGGCAAGATTTCGGGGGTTGGCCACTCACCCAAGAGCGGCATTGGTCGTCCACTTTGGCTTCCGCTGAGAGTGTCTTTATATTTGGAAAGATAGCGGTCGTAGAAGCCTTTGCCATGACCAAGGCGACGGTGAGACTGATCGAAAGCTACGGCAGGCATGAACATTAGATCCAGACTTGGAGGATCTAGTTGGTAGCCCGAATTGTGGTTCGAGATCCCAATTCCACCAAGAGCATTCCTCCTCCTCTCGACCGAGTCCTTTGACAGCGACGGGATGCCCCAAGCATCAGGGCATAACGAGTGAAAATCGTCCTTGTCCTGTAACTGCAGCATGTCCATTACCTTTGACTTCGGAGTTTCCCCTGCGTGTAGGTAAGGTACGAAGACTGCCTTCCCGCAGTCGAGGGCATCCAAGACAATATCTCGAGTTGAAGCCTCTCTACCAGGCATTGACAGGAAGATGGCCACGGCCTTTGCATTTTGATAAGCTGGCAAACGCAGCACGTGCTCCGTGATGTTGGCCGCTTTCACCATCAGCTAAAGTTGATATCCGCAGTATGAACACTCCCTACATTGCCTTTGGATTTGATTTGAGTCAAGCCTTTTTATATCCCTAGTGACTCTCTTTCGCAATGCTGCCTTTTGATCCTTCAAAGCCGTTGTCGTCATGGTTCGTAGAGCTCGAAATGACGAGTACGGCATCATCGAGCAACAATCCCAAAGTACATGCGGCATACGTGCATCCTGGGTTTCTAGATCGATTTCGCCACCAAGTGCTTTGTACTTAGGAGGGAGAGGTGATCTGACGGCAAAGGCATCCCATAGGGACCTCGTAAATTCTTTGTGGAGTGCAGGGTGAAGAGCTGTCGCAGGTAAAAGAGAGACTATTTTTGAAACAACTTGGTTCTGACGAACCGCGTGCACCAGCCCCAAAACAAGCTCCAAGTCCGCATGCAAATCCGCAGCCCGAAAAACCCCTGCACATGCGCCTCAGCCTCCGCGTCAACATCCCCCAAGGCGAGCAGCCACGCCAGCCTCAAAGGGTGAGAATTCTAGATTCAAAGTCAGACAAATTGTATCAACAACCAACGACTGCAGACGTCCTTCATCTTTCTTTTTTCTTTTCTAACCCCTCTCCGTGGAACACAACGACCATCCCTTCCCCTTCCCGTCCCGCCTCGACATCCTCGACGCCCTCTCACAACCCCTAAAAACAATGCCACAATGATCCCCTCGATACAAACTGTCGTTACCCTTTCACTTGGCCTGGCGGGCCTTGTGAGAGCGCAGTTTGATCCCGCCCTCGTGGGAACATGGACCACAAAGTCCAAAAAGGTCGTCACTGGCCCTGTAAGTGTTTACTCCCTTGCCAACATGGATGCCAATGCGTGTTTCACGGCTGTTTTTTGTTGGTTCAAATCACTGATCTGGCTCTCAGGGTTTCTACGATCCCGTCGCAGACAAATTAATCGAGCCCGAACTCGCGGGGATCTCCTACTCCTTTACGAGCGATGGATATTATGAAGAGGCGTACTATCGGGCAGTCTCAAATCGTATGCTCGGACCCCTGTGATCCATTACATGGAAGATCCTCCACCTTGAGGGGTTTTGCACTTGGTTCCTGGAAGATGGCAAGCAAGAAACAATACTGATAATCGCTTCTTTTTAGCTACGACTCCCCAATGCCCATCTTTGATAATGCAATGGCAGCACGGCACTTACTCTTTGCCGGGCAACGGCTCCATTGTCCTCACACCCTTCGGCGTCGATGGTCGCCAACTTACATCCGCCCACTGTTCCTACGACAACGCCATCTACATCCGCTACGAGCAGCCTGAATTCTTCCAGTCCTATCAAGTCCTTACCGATCCCTTCCACAACGTGCCCAGATTGAACCTGTACCAGTTCGACGGAGCTCCCTTGCAGCCCATGTATTTGATGTACAGCCCGCCACAGATGCTACCAACTCAGACACTGAATCCAACGAGTGCACCAAGTGCGACGGGAAAATCGAGAGTCAAGCGAACAGATGGGGGAGACGGGGAACAAGAGATCCTCCAGCCGCTGAACCGAGACTCGCATATCATCAAGCAACCACCCGCCGATTTCTACAATGCCGATAGGTGGTGGTGGGCTGGAGTTGGGCTGACGGCGCTGGGGACAGTGATGTACATGCTACCCACGTCTGCGTAAGGATATTTATTTTTGTCGAAGACAGGACAGTGGAGAGAAAGAGTCCATGTCAGTTACAAGGTGTTTGAGGACGCCGACCTTTGAATGGTGTTCAATATATGCTCCAAAAATGAGGATTGCGATATACAAGGCAAGCATTCCGGACAGGCGCTGGAGGAGTTTTGGGTGTAATATTCCCCCGTCGTGTGACAGGAAGCCATGGATAAAGTGATCATGAAAATGTAGTGAAATCCTTCTGTTGTGGTGGGGAGATCCAGCGTGGTTGAAATCAATGATATGTAAACGGGATATCCTCGTAGCTACCTAGCAGCGAGAGGTCCACGTGTCAGACAGAACAATGGAACGAAAGTCCGTCGTAGCATTTCCTCTATCACAATAAAGGGCCCTGTCTGGACCTGTCAAAGCAGCAGGTCGAAGTCGGCAGTCCACTCTTTGATCCGGTCATCAGTCGAGACCATATACCTAGCCTTCCGCCTTGTATGCAATGGTCTTCTCCTGGCCTCTTGCGGTGGATGAAGACCATATCTTGCTTCCGGACGAGACGAGGAAAAGGAGTCATGCTTGTGGCACGGTTCGAGAAGCATACCAGGGTTATGAAAACTCGTCTTCTTCTCCCCTTGTGGTCGAGTTGATCCCGCCATTGGCTTTTCTGTACATGATGCATATATGGACGCAAAGAACAACCAGAACGATGTGACCTATGAAAGAAGGGTGTTGTGGGAAAAAAGAGTATAGGTACAACGCTAGCAAATACACTTGATTCCCTGCCTGTTGCCCCAATGCGTTTTTCTCCCTCTGGTCTTGAAGTGACCCTTGAATCTGTGGCACAACATCCCCTTGTAGGAATCAACGGGACAGTTTGCGAGGTGCGTCCGAGGGGAGCTTGATCGCTTTGCTTCGACCATCAACTTTCCTCAATTTCAGCGCGTCGACATCGACGCCCTTCAAAGTGCGCACCTATAGTCAGGACGGTTAGTCTGATATCTATAGTAACAACTAGACGACTGTGGGGGGGGGGGGGGGGGTTGTTCTAGTGTTGCAGAGATGGTTGCAATAACGACAGGATTTCGGAAACCAAACGCCCTTACATTCAAAGCCCGATTGTCGGCAAAGAAATTCGGATCGGTGCTCTTCCCGCCAATGCTCGTCCCGCAAGTCGAGCAGAAGGAATGCGCAATCATTTCTGGGCCAAAGGTGTAAGTGGTGAGTTCATCAAAACCACTGAGCCAGGTGATGTTGGACTCCAATGGGTACACCATAAGATATCCATTGATGGTACAGATAGAGCCTGCAGACAAGTCAATCAGTTCAGTCCCATGCCAGGAGACTTAAAGCCTGGTCTACAGGGACCAGATTGGAGTTGGGAATCCTGAGGCTTACAATTGCAGCTGGTCACTGGGCCATCCTCGACAGGAGGTGAGAGCTTCATGGTGAATCTAGCATCGGTCAATATACCGGCGTCTCTTGTGAGCACATTCACTTGCACACCTAACTCTGCCGCAATGGCATGATCCTTCATAGGACTTGGATTTTGGCTTCACGGTAGGACTGATTGGGCTATTGAGGTCTGACATCTTGCCTTGTTGGTATGCAGATTCAAGCTTGTGCTACTTTAGCCAATGTCAGCTGAGTCAAAGAACACCTCTCGATGCTATCCTTGCTAGCATTCGAGGGTGTACCGAGTATATAGTACTCAAGACTCACCTTCTAGTAATGCCCCCTGTCGTGTGCTTGATGGTGTCGATCCCCCTTTCGGTCACCGGCGTTGCTCAACTTCCTGGTCGGGCAACGGACAAAGATTACTCCGAGGTTATGGATAGCCTGATGGATTTTGCCAGAAGTACAGGCAAGATTCGACGGTGAATATTTGAGCGGATGCCGATGCAGGATGGCCACTCAGAGAGCGAGAAAATTGAAAGGTGTGAAGCTGCTGTTATCAGCGACGTCGATGGGTGGCACCTGGGAGACCTGGCGACAAACAGCTGGATGAATAGGAATGTGAATGGGCAAAGCAAGTTGCATTAGCATCTTCGTCTGCCCATTTCATGATTGGAGGGGAAATGGAGCGGAGTACTCAGTCGAGGAAAGGAGGGGGATGAAACTGGTGGAACACACCACCCCGTCCTTGGAACCTCAGTTGAGGCGGCAAGGGTCGAGGGGTCTGGAAAGGGTGAAAAAGGCTTCCTACAGACTAAGCAGTGACAGCCGACACGTCGCATCAAGCACCCTACCCTTGGCGTCGTCTCCTACCATGGCCATGGTAGCTGTCTGGTCCTTTCGTCTGATCCACGTTGCAGGTTGCTCGTTGTTTATGGGGTCCATCCTCTCCATCATGACGCAGGCTGTTGCTTGTCAAAAGCACAGACCTGAGGAACAGTGGGTCCAGCATGGATGGAATCTGGGTGGTCGTACCGAGGACTCATACCCCATGTTCTTATATGAGACAAAGCTTCGGCTGCTGTCGGCTTATCTACTTGTACGGCTCAGTCACGTTCCGGCTTGCTGGGGGAGGACGACTGCGCTCGAAAGGGAGGGTGAGAGGTAGACTTGTTGGCGAAGTAC